ACCCCGATGGGCGAATCATGAAAGATCGCAAGAAAAACCCGTCATTACAATTAATTTGGTGGATGAGATGAGCCACCCGTCAAGTTGCCTTTTTTCCTCCTTCTGTGACGTGGTTTTTGTGCAGTGGCATGGGATACAACAACGTGGGATGGCGCAGCAGGAGCACAATCGCGCTCTGGATCAGCATGAGCATCAGATTTTGCAATATTTGTGTCTTCTTCGGACAATTTTGTCTTTTCAATGGCTTTCATGGAAGCAACTGGTTTGGTTTCGTCGGCGGCGACCTTTTTGACTTCCTTATTCTCTTCCAGAGACATCTTAGCGACCAGATCAGCCACGTCACCTTTCTTCTGATCAATCGGCGCAGGATGAACAAACGGAATTACTTCCTTCAATCCTATAAAAGAAAATACGATTCGACTTCAGTTTCGGGCAGTCTCGTGAGCAATTACTAGTGGTTTACAACAACGATACCTTCAGGCATAAACTCCCGGACGGCATCTGGCACAACGATACCATCGTTTGTTTGGTAGTTCTCAAGGATGGCACACATCACCCGAGTAGTCGCACACATAGTGGCGTTCAACATGTGTACATACTCAACCTACACTTCGAAGGCGTGAATCGTGCATTAGTACTCTTCACATAAGGGATAATCAAAATAACTATGGGAGCTCAAACAAAAGATTACTTCACCTCTCTCCCCATCTTTTTGGTCTGACCGAAGCGAATACCCAGACGACGCGACTGGTAGTCAGTGCAGTTGCTGCAGGAGACAAGTTCACGGAAAGCCCTTGAGCCCGGATACCAGCCCTCCAAATCATACTTCATCGCGGCCGCATTGTTAAGCTCACCAGAAACAATGGACACAATTCTATATGGAATCCTGAGAGCCTGGAAATGATATATCATACTCGAATTTAGGTTGCATGATCAAAAATCCTCTAAATCGCATAAAATCACACAATTGGCTTTTGCACTAACATACCTCAAAGAAACTTTCAGCAGTAGAAATCATTTCATCAAACATCTCCCAGGAAGCGTTGTCATGAGGTGAAGTGATGCAGAACTGTTCAACCTCGAATACAACACCTGAACTCAGTTAAGGCGCATTCATGAAGTATGTGGAAATCAAGTAAAAGAAAAAACCACAAGATCATCTAGCGTGGACTTTGATGAACAAACATACCTTTTCAAATTGATGAACACGGAAAATACCCCGAGTGTCACGGCCATGACTGCCCACCTCCTGCCTGAAGCAAGTGGATACGCCAGCATACCGGAGAGGTAGTCCCTCAGGAGACATCCATTCACCACGATGATAAGCAGCAATAGGCTGCTCTGATGTGGCGATAAGATATTTCACCTCTTCGTCATCATCATTATTGGGGTCACCAGCAGCCTCGCGCTTCCCTGTCACTTTGTACAGTTCCTCATCGAATTGGGATAGCTGTGCTACCTCCTGCATTACCTCCTTGCGCATGAAAAACGGCGTGTAGAGGGGCGTGTATCCGCGCTGGTAGAGCATCCTCAGAGAGAGGTTGATAAGAGCCTGCTCTAAAAACACCAATGGTCCCTAAAAATCGAGAACATACTAAACTTAGATCGTTCATAAGGAAACTAGACAACGAACCCAAGAATACCTTTAAAAAGTAGCACCGATTGCCCGATATAGCAGTCCCACGCTCGCCATTGTATCCGTCTATCATATGAACTAAATCCACGTGTGAATATTTTTTAATATTCGAGGCGTCGCCGAATGTGCGAATGACTTTGTTGTTTTCCTACACTATGAGATAAGGTGTAGACACTAACCTCATTGTCAGATATAGGGACCTCAGGATGCAAAATATTACCGACTTCATAAACCAGATCATTTCTTGACTTCTCCAATTCATTGGAAAGATTCTGCTGACTTTTTATCGTTTCATCAATATAAACCGTCAATGCTTTAATTTGACATATACTTAGACCCTAATAAAATAAAGCAAACTGCACTGTATCATACATCAATCTGCTCCTGAGTAAGTCCAATAACATTTTCAGTGATTTCGGAAGGAAGCACCGAATCTCCACTTAGAGATGCTTCTGCCTACAAAAATACCAGAAGATACTGTTATATACCTTCATCTTCTTCCAGATGGCTTTGCTACATAGATTCTTTAAACGATTCAAGCGGTCACACGCAGAGCGAGCTACGACTCAAAATCCAATCTACCAGCAAACCTTTACGCCAACGCTCATCCAGTTCGATAATCTTGTCTACGATTTCTGAGTTTTTAAACCGGTTCTTCTCATTTTTTCTGAGTAAATCAGGATTGCCTCCTTTATCGGACCTGAAAAGATCCAGCGACAAGACCATCCCAACGCACCCCCAATTGGATCACCGCCAGCGAGAAGAAGGGGTCGGTGAAAAGAAAGAACTTTAAGCATTTAAAAAGACAGAAAAGATTTTTGGTGAGACAGATTAAATCTTAATTGTGGCTTTTTCCAAACACGACAATTATAATGAAATTTCGTCTGTTTACAGTGTAGATATTTAAAATTAACTTGTCACATAATAATAATCCAATATCAGGTATCTAAATATCTGCTTTAAAGTTATGGTAAACATTAAATACTACCGACTTTTAGTGCGGATACAAATTTGATCATTAGCTGCTGCATCAATAAGGTCTTCAAAAAATGCTTTTCTTCGCAA